AAGAGCACTTGACAGAAATAAAATTTAGATTTCGCTTATCAATACAGGTATAGTAATTAATCTCGAACTTTTGAAGTATACGTTCTTCGTGCTAGCAAGAAAAATTAATGTTTCTCTTTCTTTCCTTTCGATCAGGGAAGTAAATAAAAAAATGTTATTATTAAAATAAAAATAACAAGATACACATAAAAATTCCTTCGTAAACTCGTTTTAACTATATCCCTACCTCGTACGTATGGCTCATGCAAAAAGCATTTTCAAAACTCGCTTTTTAACAAGTAAATTTCTATCCATATCTCTGTGTCGAGACAATCACGTGAAGAGGAAAGACGCGCGGCATGGTTATCCGCTGACTGATGTTTATTATTGTGACAATAGTCAAGGTTAAGTAACGATCACGGGCAATTCGTCATAATTTCAATGCTCTTACAAAAATATGTGGCAGAACACTTTGTAGATGATATCGCTATCCGGTCGTGCATTAAGAGCGCGCAAGATAGTCTTAACATGCGAGAAAAGTATATCTTCGTAAAAGAAAATACCTTCGTTCGAACTGTCCGTCTTGTGGTATCGCGCCATTGACTTTATCAAGCAACGCGGTTCTGTTTTTACGCTATATTCGTTCGCAAGGAGTACGGAAGAATCTTTCGTCTCTCGCCAGCTTCCACTGCAGCAGTAAAATGGCACTGTGTGGACCCGATCGGCTTTTGTCCTTTTTCAAGCAGTAGCGTATGGAAAGCTCGAATGACGATGAATACCTGACAAATAATTATGATGAATACCTGACAAATAATTATGATTAGAATATAATTTTCGAATTTTATCAATTTTGTTCTCCCGCTTGATATTCCACGTCCATGTGATTTTCCCGACAATACGCATATACGTCTAAATCACATGATACGTCTTTATGACGTCTAAATCGTATGATGTCTTATGACTTTTACAGACACGCATGTTATCTGTAGACTACGATTAAATTGTATCTAGAATAAAATAATGATCTTGCAAAATGAGATTAACATTAATTATCTCATATATATATATATATATATAAGTGTTGAGTTTTTCTTCTTAAATAAAGCACGGGAGAGAAACCTTTTTATATGAACGTTTTATTTTATGTATTACACAAATTGAGAAGAAGAAGGAAGTGACAAAAGAATAATCGTACAAACGCGAATCGACATCCGCAATCAGTAGCGCCATCAATTCGATTTATTAGCGCCACCTTTATATAGTAATTATAGTAACATATTTTTCCATAAATACTGAATTAGTAACTAAGATACTAAGATTAGATCAAGCGCCTCGAGATCACTTTATCCAACAAAAAGTATTATCATTTCAGACTTATCCGCGCGCGTTTATCGATTCGTGAAATAGAAATCTATCATTCTTATTTATTAATTAAAATATTTTGTATTGCATTGACTTTTATATATATTATACATATTTCGAAATCTTTTTGTTCTGATCTTCATTATTATAATTCCTGCAAAATATATTCCTGCAAAAATATTCATTCGTTTGCTTTAAGATTTCGAGAAAAATTGGCTAATATATAGAACGGAGCTATACGTAATTTCACGGCAAACCTATTTGCACGAGATTTCTAAAGGCTGTGTTGTTAACAGTGACCTTTAAGCGTCATATTGATAATTCCCGTGCGGTGGAAACAAGGAATTTCGAACTGTATATTCGGGCATCGTATATTCGGGCACGTCTCAGAATTGCTTCAAACGGCATCGTGATCGGATCAGAACGTGTTATCTTCTTTCAAGCTAGAAGAAATATATATGAGCTTTGTACATGTACATATAAAAACGTCCCTTTACTGTGGTAAGTACATTTTTCTTTTTTTTAATAAAATTTGCGTACACATCCTATTTTTCCAAGATAAATACGAGCGTTATTATAACCAATTAAAGTATTAAATTTACACATATTTACAATTAAATGCAGTAAGTTTTCGTTAAATTGTGTATATTTTACATGATATTAACATATATTCGATAATAAAATATTCTAATATATCTAAAGAACGAAGTATACAATATATTAACGCAGCATATTTAGTTAATATTAATATAACGTTATAATATATTTGTAATTTAACATCGTAAAATACGACACTCATTAAAGAAAACATTTTAATATGCGTGCATTTCCTCATTGAGTAGATTTATTAATTTAAATTTTAATTTCACTATATTCACTAATACATATAAATATTAATGTATTCGAAAAAAATACATTTAAAGATATATATTTAAAAAAATGTGAAAGTAATTCTTGCTTTTTTGCATATGCTATTTTTGCATATTTATTTATTATGTGACAAGCATATATGACATTTTATGTTAGATAAGAGTACATACATACCTTAAGATATGACGTAAGTAATGTTGCTCTTCTGTAAATTTTTGATAAAACTTTTTTAGATTGTAATTAAAAAAGGACTTGCTGTACTATTTATAAAATTTATTATTTTAATATTTCGAATAATATAAAATAATTTATCACGGAAAGAATTTAACATAGACCCGTCTTGAGAAACGAAGTTCGCATTGTGTTTCAATTCGGATTTGATTCTTCAGACAAACATTTAAATTCCTCACTCGAATCACTCGATTACATTTATAACATCACGGACATTAAATTCCTTTAAGATTTATCTATTCAATCGTATTCCGTGTCATGATTGATTTCAGTTAATTTCTTCAACAGAAAAGCGACTAAAAGTTTGAGGCTTATTAGTGACGCATATATTTTATATAAAAATGATTCTTCAAAACTTGTACGATGTACGACAAACTATGATCCACCTACATACATTTAGCCGCAGCTTGTTACGTATGATTAGAAGTATAGAAATGGGAGAGGATTTACAATATAATTACGTTATATTCGGTATACCGACTCAAATTTTTATTACGCTTGTAAGTAAATAACTATTTACAATTATTTATATGTAATTAATTAATTATTAATTAATTATATTAAAATAACAAGTTTACTCTAATTTATTTGAAATGCTCGAAAACAGTATTTGTCTACATATATGTAAAAAAACCCGCTTAGTTATTATAATTGTTTATGAAAAAAGTTAACTTGATAAATAAAACAAATTTGGAAAATAATATACATATATGTAGACAAATACTGTTTTCGAGCATTTCAAATAAATTAGTAAACTTGTTATTTTAATAATTAACTGAATTTATTTAATTTTGCAGATACGAGGTCGTTATATAGATGTTGAAAAGCTTAAAAATTTACTGATACGGTTAATACAAAAAGTTAGTGCATTGCAGACAAAACTCAATCAGCTGAATGATGGATGAGAAAAAGAAGACAAATAGGAAGGATTCTGACAAATGAACAAAGAAATATGGAATGAATAATTCGTAAAAATATATATATCCTAAATAAATTGTAAATTAAATATGTAAAGTCGATATATTACGTTACATTAATTCTAACGCGATATGTGTGTTACATGATCAAACTCTATGCCGTACTTTATGTTCATCAATAAAATTTCGATTCAACAGATGTGTGGTCCTTATTAACATGATTCGATATGTAATTTATGCTTATAGACTCGATTACGCGAACTTTACGCCGAAACTATAGCTTCATGAAACTGTATATAGGGCTTCTCGATGTTTACGATTTGAATTTTGTTTAGAAAAATATTTCCGATATTTTTGAGATTTCGAGATGTCGAATAGTTATATTGATTGGATGGAATCTGAAGGTCATTGCCATTTGAAATCAGATTCGAGATTTTTAAATTATAATTATTAATATTTTTAAATTAATATTTTTAAATTAATT